GCCCCGTCACGGGCTTCGCTGTCCCCGCTTCCCGTTTGGCTCGGCCCGCCTCCCTCTGTCTCCATCCATCCCCGGTGTCTGTCGATCTCTTCCTCTCCTGTCCTCCCTGGAACCCTCCCTGTGTCCCTAGATCTTTCTCACTGCGCCTCTCTTTCCCAAGGTGGGGCTGCCTCTCTTACCCCTCGCTCCTCGCTCATTCTCACCGTTTTCTCCCTCCCTCTCATTTCTACGCCCCCCTCCCCCGTTACCCCTTTCTCCCTCTGCTCGGAAAGACTGGCTGTTCTTTCCTGTCCCTGTTTGGAACAGAGGTCCCCCAAATCCAACTCAAGTCATTTCCCTGCCCTGGGACCTCGGACAAGTCACCCAACCCCTCAGTTGCAGTTTCATTATCTTTAACACAAGCTAATAAACAAGGAGGGAGGCTTGTGAAGCAGGGTATGGAAGCAGGATGTGCCAGTGGCTCTGGACCCCCTCCTGAATCTCACACATTAGTAAATGCAGCAGCCACCGTGGCAGCCGCTTGGCGACCAGGGCACCCTGAGACCAATTTAGCAGGGAGCACCAAGGGTGTCTTCTGGGCTCTCCAAAGCCCCTCCTGAATCCTAACTGTGGTTTCTTAACCCCTGCTCCAGATTTTGGTCGGCACCCCCCAGAGCTGGGTCTGATATGCCAGGCTGTGTCATCTGCAGGTTCCTTCTTACCAGGCCCTCTGATTGACCTTTAGGCACCAAGAGGTGCTTCCTAGATGGAGTGCGTCTTCAGAGTCAAACAGATGTGAGTTCGAGATGACTTACTTGGGTAGGTCACACCATCTCAAGCTTGTTTCCTCATTAGGAAACAGAAACAATTGCCACTTTTTTTTTTTTTTGGTGTTACGAGTTAGATTATTAGTAGTTTGTCTAATGTGCCAGTTTATGGAAGGTTTCCAGTCTGTCCTAGCTTTTACTCAGGTTCTGTGGAAGGGATGGCAACTCACAAGGCAGGTGTGGTTTCCGCCTATCTACACTGGCTCCTAGCTGGGGAGGCAGACTAGAGTGCAGGGATACATATGGTAACAGCACAGTGAGTGTGATGGAAACAAGTACCCTGGGGAACTGATCTGGTAGGAGGTGTGGTCATCAAAGCTGAGATCTGAGGGAGAGAAGAGGGCATGCTAAAGGAATGGGTGAAAACTGTGTTCTAGGCAGAGGCAGAAATGCCATGGCCAGAAATCCACGTGTGGGAGGAGAGTGAGGCTGGAGAAGTGGTCCAGGCTGAGGAAGCAGGTCCTGTGGATCTTATGGAGGAATCTGAACCTCAGTGATGGAAACTGCCTTTGTTAATATTAATATTAATCTCCAACCACTTCAGTCCCAGTTTCCTGTTTCTGAAGAAGCCGGGTCCAGCAAGACATGCCATTTGTTTTTCATCTTTCTTGAAGTTAACGTCTCTTGTCTTCCACCACCCTATCTCAAGCACTGTCATCTCTTTCTTTACCCAAGTGACCCTCCCAAGAGCACAAAGCCAGGGTTAGTTCCCTTTGTCATCCAACCAGGTACACAGGAGCGGTCCTCAAACAGCTCTGTTGAACAACTAGTGGCTGGGAATCATCTGCTGTGTGACAGGCTGTGTGTTGTTCCTGCCCTCACAAAACAATCATAGACACTTTGGAATACAGGACATCAATGACCAGTATGAGGAAGTCTCACGGAATGCTTGAGACTGGAAGTTCTCTGAGGGTAGGCCTGCCTTGAATTGATTTACATACTAGACCCCCAGGGTGTGGTACAATGCCTGGTACAAGGCAAACACTCAGTAACACATGCTGAGAGGATGGGAACAAAATAAAGCTTCCATGCAGAGGGTTGAGAAGGAAGCAGGACTCAAATGAGCTACGGGGGAGGAGACTTGCCTATGAAGAGGTAGCCAGCAGCAGACAGAAAGGTCTTGAGAGAGCATGGGAGCTCTTCCTCAAGTGCCAGGTGAGTAGGCGTCAGGCACTTCGCGCAGTAACCTCTGCCAGCCTTCACGGCATCCCTGCCTTTTGGGCACAGTTATCTTCCCTTTTCTGATAAACTGCTAGGGTCCAGAAAGGCGAGCCCCCTGACCCCGAGTCCCGCACGGTCTGTATTAGGGTTTGAACCCAGGCCTGCCGTTCCTTTTCGCTAAAAGGAAGAAGCAAAAGAAAAAGAAGGCAGAGTGAAGAAGGAGACAGCTGAGAACAAAAGAAAGGCGGTGGTAAAGGAGTTAGCTCCGCAAGTAATTTTTCAACTTAAAAACAATTCCCATTTCCCAGCCCTGCGGAGGCAGGCACGGCGGATCTGAGGCGAGGCCGGCCCTCTGACTCGCAGGAGCCTGCCGAGGGGCCCCGCGAGCTGCTTCAAAGCCGGCCTCTTCGGCACAAGCGCTTTAAACTTCACACGGGAAACTTTCCAGGGCTGACTTTCTGCACTTTGTTTCCAAATCAAGAGATGGGGAAGTCCCTCTCAGCCCAGCGGGGAGGAGAGCTAACTTGCCCTGGGGTCTGGGCTAGGCCAGGGACTCCCCAGGCTGGGCGACCTGGCCCTCCCCATACACATAGATGGGGGGCAGGAATCTGTCCCCTGCTTGTAGTAGTCTCCGGAAGAGAATCAGGATGTGGACTGCCTTGGGTCTCTTAGGGGGTGATGAGGCCTCTAGTCCCCACCTGCTTTTCCCCAGGCTCCCCTGGTGACAAAGTGGGACCTTCTCAGGAGGACCATCATATTCTGCCTGCTTTACACTCAGCAGCAGCTTCAAAAACGGATCAGCCCGTCTGTCATCCTCTGATCGCCTTATCCAGAGGCAGCAAGGGTCTTTCTAACCCTCGGCTCCTTCTGATTTTTGGAATCCAGATTTGGTTTTTGGATGTACATCAAGAGGCTGGCTCCGTGCATTTTAATTAAGCTGTCTTTTTTTCATTTATTACTAATACACTCCTCTTAACTATGATTTATTTGTTAAACAAAGCACCATAAGCCGTCACTTATTCATCTTAATTTCAACAAAATTAAAGTAGTCGCTGTTAGATTGCACCTAATTGCACTTGCAATGAAAAGAACGGAGATGTTAATCAAAATAAATTGAAGATAAACAATAAAATCATTACATCTTTGCGATGGTAAGTGTAACTAATCAGTTTTGACTCAGAGAGACTGAACAGGAATAATGAATGTGTCACTAAAGGTTGGTTCATTAAGAGAAGCCACAGAGACCTGGTCTTTGGGGCAGTAGACAGATACCCTGCCCATGTGGCCCTGAGGGTTCTTACACCTTGGGTTGGGAAAGGGGGATCCAGGGAGCAATGGGAGCCAGTGGGTAACTCTTAGGATGGATATAATGGGTGGAGGGGCTCTGAAGCTGCCCTGCCACAGAAGGATTCTTTCACTTTGTTAAGGTAACAAGAGATCCTAGGCCCATTCCTGGACATACCAGTTAGCATACCATATATAACATTCCTTTCCTGGACATACCAGGTCACCAAGAATGGAGAGAATTGAGGTGAAAGACAGATAGACAACAGCTATGCCAAGGACACAAACAGGGAGACACACCTCAGGTGATGTGGTCGAGAAGGGCAGGGAGAGAAAGCCTAGGAGAGAGAAATGAAGACAGTAAGGGACCATGAAGAAGGAAGGAAAATTGAGGCAGCCCCTCCTCCCAGAGGTGAGGAGGAGAGAGGCAGGGCTGACACAGACAGAGGTAAATGGAGGTAGTGTTCAGGAAGTCTCAGAATCCCAGAATCCTCAGGAGTCCAGGAAGGCACGTGACTGTAGGGATGGGGCCCATAGGCTGGGCTTTGGAAACCTAGGGGATGATTAGGAGCCCTGAGTGAAAGAGGCAGGTGGCTCCCTGGTGTCACTCAAGCTCATACATCTCACAGACTAACGGGGTGGGGGGCATATTGAGGCTCCTTCCTCAGGACGTGTGGATCTAGCAACAGAGCCAGAGAGAAGCTAGCTTGCATTGTTCCTTGGCTACATCCTATCTTCAGTCTCAGAAGCCCCAGAAGATGAGTTATGGAAAGTGGGTGACTCTGAAGATTTGGACACCTCCATGGGATTGGAAATGACTAGGAGAGGCAACCTGAAAATACTAAAATTTTTGGTTTTGTGTAATGCTGGGATCAAACCTCGGGCCTTGTACATGTTAGGCAGCATTCTACCATTGAGCCACACCCCAAGCCCTAAGATATGTATTTAAAAAAATCTACCTTATGCTTAGCCCTGAGCTTTCCATGGGCAATGCACTGGTGAATTACCTATAATATCTCT